AGAAGCTGGGAATCGTAGTTAAATGTGAATATATATTTTGTAGAAAACAGCTAATTGAAAATACAAATTCTTAGAATAATGAATAACACCAAAGTTTAAAAAAGCATCAGTGATGGGAAATTGGTCATTCCATTAAGGGAAATTGGAAGGTTAAGGAGGAAGTGCAGATGAACACAGGAAGGGAAGTTTAGTCTGTGATACATAAAAGAGCTCTTATCTCTATGGAAATGTCTAAAAGTCAGTTAGCAATCTGGGTCTGGAACCAGAAGAGGGTTTGTAGATAAAAATTGGGAATTATTTGCACAGAGATGATATTTGAGGGCACAGAAGTAAATTAGGTAGCTAGAGAAAAAGAAGAGAACTGAAGACAGAGGCATGGAGGTTTCCTATATTTGAAGAGAGCAGAAGAAAGAGAGACAGAAAAGAAGTGTGATCAGAACCAGGAAAGTACATGTGTCTCTGAACTCAAAGTCTTTAAGAAAAAAAAAAAAAAGACATAGTGGTATAGAAGGAAAGGAGGACTTGTGCAAACAGAATAATAGAAGTAAAAATGTTGGGGAGATGTTTGTTTATGGTATACTTTACATTCAGTTAAATCCACTATTTTGGATGTGCAGTTAATGATTCTTGACAAATGTGTAGTCATGTAATTACCATAACAATCAAGATACAGAACATCTCCATCACCCCCCAAAATTCCTTTTTGTACCTTTGTAGTCAAACCCTCCCTCCTCTCCTAGTCACTGGCAACCATGTTTGAGATTCATCCATAGATTCATCCACATTGTTGCATGTATTATTTTTCATTACTGTGTAGCAGTCCATTCTTTGGATGTACTATAGTTTTTTAATCCATTTACCAATTGAAGGATATTTTGGTGGTTTCCAGTTTGCCTTGATTATGAATAAAGCTGCTACAAACATTTACTTACAGGTTTTTGTGTATGGAAACTTTTCATTTCTCTTGAGTTAATACGCAGCAATAGCATAGTTTGGTTATACAATAAGTATAGTTGAACTTCAGAAGGACTGGCCAGTCATTTTCCATTTCCAGTACTAGTAATGTATGAGAATTCTCATTGCTCCACAGTCTTGCCAGCACTTGTTAATATTGTTTGTTTTACCACTTTAATAGGTGTATTATTGTATCTAATTGTGATTTTATTTTGCATTTTCCTAATGACTAATGTTATTGAGCATATTTCAGTGTATTTGCCATTCTTTAATACTCCTTTTGATTTAAGATTATGACTCTAAAGAAAAAGGCAAAAACAGATGACAATACCAAGTAAAAAACATTAAATGTCCTGGGTCATGGCTTAAGATGAATGAAAATAGCTTAATGACAAGGGTTAGAATAGATCATCTGGGACAGGGCCAATGCATTTGATAAAGATTGCTGATATGATTAAATGTGCTTTAAGTTACACTTGAAGGGTTGAGAAAAAAGATCTCAGAAACAGTATCAAGAAAAACAGATGTGATATAAAATTATAGAAGAATTTTTAAAACCCTGATAATTTGAAGGAAAAGTAGTAAAGATAGTTGGAAACAATATTTCCATCCAACTATACACCAATGAACAGAATAGGAGTGAATAGAACAATGGATTTGAAAATTAAATATAAACAACTATGCACATTTCTAGAAGTTGTTAGAAAAAGGTGCATGAAGTATTTTTAGAGCAATGGAAGCATAAGCTTTATTTGATAGAAATAACTCGGATAAATGATGCGACAGAATAGCACTGAAAATTGATGTATTCATCGGTGTGAGGGTGAAAACATGTTAGAGAGCACCGAAATCAGGAGGAAAGATAAAGAAAAGTTACAATGTTGTGTGGACATAGTATCTAGAGCAGAGTTATGTGGTGGATTTGTACAGTACTTTCCTCTATTTGTGACAAAACTAGCCCAGAGACAGTGATAGGTCCCCTCCCTAATCTGTTGGAAACTCCATTCTGCCCTAAGCAGGGATCAGAGTTTTCTGCTGTCTGCAATGTTATCATTTAAATGAAGAAATAAAAAATAAAATAAAATCTTGATGCTAAAGTAGAACTAAGCATTAAAAATGAAATAAAACAACAATTTAAATAATAAATAAAAGTAAAATATTCTATTATATAAAACATATGATATATAACGTGTTGTGTATACTATAAATGAAAATAGAAGTAAAAGCAGAAGGCAGCAATATAAAGTGCCCCTGCATTTTATTCATCAAATACCTAGTGAGTAAGTGTTGAATGAGGACTGAGAAAGACTGAGTGGACAGAGTGGTAAATGGGAAGAGTGGTCCCCTCTTCCCATGGACTTCACACATTAAGCAAGTCATTAAAATAAAGAATGGCAAATACTGGCAAAGACAGTGCACTTTGAAAATGTAAGGAGCCCTTCAATGAGTTCAAATTTAACATGAGCATTTATGAAATATGGAAGTAGGATTAATAGAAAATGTAACTCGAGTAGATATTAGGATCCAGAAAGCAAAGACCAGAACAAATTGAGACTTAGGAAACATTCCAAGACAGTGGCAAAAGAATTTTAGTCATGTTCAGAGCAGGGAAATGAATATTAAAAGATTAGTTATGCTATTTGCACAAGACAGTAGAATGTTGAGTTGGCAGAACTAATTGTACTGATTTCCATCAAAGAAAATACCTGGAGTGGAAGGAGTTTAAGAGGTTATTGAAGCCCAGGGTAGGAGAGGAGTTGTGGAAAGTTTGCTGGAAAGAATTCCATGTCCCTAGAAAAACATGCCAATGACATCATAGCATCAAACTCTACTCAATCTTTGAGAAACTAAGAAGAAGGGTTAGAGTATTAGATTAAGGATGAGCTAGGTTTTAGAATGACAGCAAACAGCAAAAGGAAGCGTTTCGTAATCTATTCAAGTAGTTGAGAAATGATGTTAAAGAAACGGCTGGTTTGAAATATTTGTTAAAAGATATTACATTTCTATAATATTTTTTATGTGTACCTTAATGAAGAAAATAGTTTATAGAATTTTGCAAAGAATTTATCCAGAGAATTTTAATCAATTTCTAATTGCATAAGTAATATATATTTCTTTGCAAACATAAACCAAATGGATAAATAAAACAAAACAAACAGACTCATAGATACAGAGAACTAACTAGTAGTGGGGGGGTCATAGTGGAGGAAGGGGATTGAGGTACACACTACTAGGTATAAAATAAGATACGAAGATGTAATGTACAGAACATCCCTGTATATAGCCAATATTTTATCAAAACTTTAAATGGAGTATGATTTAAAAAAATATCGAATCACTATGTTGTACACCTGAAACTAGTAATATAACATTAAATCAACTATAGTTCAAAGAAATCATTTTCAGTTCTAATACAAGCACACAGTTTGGTCACATCTTATGTGAATTTGAATTATTTAAATATGAATTAGAATGTATTTAAAGTATTTATAAATCTCACTTCTTGAGATAAATATTAAAGCAAATAAGCCTAAATTTAAAAATCAACAATGACCATGATTTGAAATGAGTGAATTGTGAATTAACATTATTTCCACAAGGTGGCACCATAGTGGAAACTGTGGCCAGTAATGTAAGTGTTCATTCAACATTTTGTCTCCCTTTACATAAGTATATATTATGTTTACAACAATATTCATAAGTTGAGGCTTTCTAAATAAATGAAATTATTCTATATCTAATATGTGAACTGAAACTTGCCATCTGTGGCAACTCAAATATACTGGGGATCTTCTTCATTCTTCTACCGCTGTCCTTGGTGAAAAGATACTGTAATTCCTTCAACAAGTCCCTCATCAATGGTCATTTAGGTGTCCTGCAATTTTTCACTAATGCAAATGATGTCATAAAGAACTTTTTTGAACAATTATCTATGTATACATAAGCAAGTGTGTCTGGAATATATATTCTGCCAGGAGAAATTTCTGGCTTAAAACAAATGAACCTTTTAAATTCTGGTATGTACAGTCAATTTGTCCTTTTCAAAGTTTCCAATAATATAAGCTCTAACCAATATTGTATGAAAATATCCATTTTCCTTCATATTGCATGACTATTTTCTTTTTAAATTTTGCCACCTGATATAAAAATGTTGGTGGTAATTTATCATTTCTTAATTAGTAGTCAGGTTGAATAAGTTTTGAAAATTTTAGTGTTTTTGTATTTTTTGTTCACTGATTTACTAGCCCATATTATTTGCCCATTTTTCACTTTTTTTTTTACACAGTTATCTTCTTTTTCTTTTGGATTAATCAGAACTTTTCATGTTTTACAGATATTATTCATTAGATTGTTGTATCTGTTAAAAAAATCTTTCCTCTTAATCTGTCACTTATCTTTGAAATTCAGGAATGAGTGGCTTTCATTGCAAGTGAATTTTAATTCTTAATTGGTCAAATGTGAGGATTTTTCTCTTATGGCTTCTGAGTTTTGTCTGTTTTGTTTTGCATTAAAAGAACACAAATTTTAAAACTTAAAATTTTCCAAAATTTTAAAGATCAACAAAGATATTCTTTTTATTTGATTGTAATGCAATGATTTTTTCCCACATTTAGTATTTTTGTACATGTGGAATTTGTTTTTACGGATGTCTAATTAGCTTAGCACTGTTTACTGAATAGACATTTTTTTTTTCCTCCAATGATTTGAGACATTACCTTTATCATGTACTGGTTCTAAATATACATGATTTTGTGTCCAGATATTCTATTCTACATTGACCAAAATTTTAATATTTAACACAAATAAATGCAATGGATCCCAGGATTATCTGCACATCAAAGAAGCAGGAAAGGTCTTCAGAGTAAGCCCAGAAAGTTAAGGAATTTGGATGAAGTCTCATAACTACATTGGTAGGCGATCTGGGCCTGGAAACACATTTTTCTTAAGTCTAATTCAGTATTTTTCCCATTCTGCTGCAGACTATGATTTGAAATCAACAGGAAAATAGGTCATTTTTACCCTCTTTTGTCGTGGTTCTTTTCCAGTGACAAAGGAGTATTCAGACTGTAGCAGGTCCCCATGCCAGAATGGGGGCACGTGTATAAATGGAAGAATCAGTGTCGTCTGTGCGTGTCGACATCCTTTTACTGGTGACAACTGCACCATCAAGGTGGTGGAAGAAAATGCTTTGGCTCCAGGTGAGAAAGTACATGCCCCCTTGGATTTGCTCAATGTTATAAACAAAAACATTTTTTGAAAATATTTACAAATGAATGTTTAGACCTGCTTAATCTGGACTCACTTGAGGATGAATTCCTTTTACTTCTGAAACTTAATAACACAGGATTTACAGACATACATGAAATATCTTTTTGTCGGGTAGTCATATTGATATATATTCATTGAAATTTTCAATATTGGTATAATACAGGCAGTTTAATGAATTTCTCCCCCTCTTTATCTTCTTAAAAGAAAATACAAATCAGGAGTTTGGGATGTGCAGATACTGACTACTATATATAAAACAGATAAACAACAAGTTTCTACTGTATAGCACAGGGAACTATATTCGATATCCTATAGTAACCTATAATGAGAAAGAATATGAAAATGAATATATGTATGTATATGTATGACTGAAACATGCTGTACACTAGAAACTGACACATGGTAAACTGACTATACTTAAATAAAAATTTTAATTTAATTTTTAAAAAGGTAAATGGCAGTCCATAATAAAAAAATACAGAAATATATATCCAAGTAATACCAACTTTTTCTCCTCAAATAAGTTGTTAACGAATATATCTTTGATTCATATCAGATCTGATTCTTTCAATGAAGCTTTAATAAGTGCATAGCAGTATGTCTTCTATGAAGGTCAAGCTAATAGTGTCATTGTGACTGGCTGAGGACTGTCGGAACATGCTCAGGTGGACTGATTAGAACAAGGTGTCTTTTTGTCCATTTACTTTTATAAGTATAGGTTGCTATAGATTTACTTCAAGAGTGTACCTTTTCTGATTCCTATACAAGAAAGTGTGTGCAGCACTTAAAATATTCTCCTTAATGATGGCAAACATATTTCAAATCAGGCTTTTCTTAATATGTTGCATAATAAAGAACAATCTTTAGTCTGTTTTGAAATCTCAGCCTTTGTAAGTACATATGGCATTAATTACATAGAAGATTGCTTTTATCTACTCTATAGTGTGTATGATTTCATTCGGTTTCCATTTTAGCCTCTAGAAACTGTTTGACAAGGTGCTGGAAAAATTGTTTCCACGTCATGTCAGCTTTAATTCCTGCAAGGGGCTTTAAGACATTCTGGCATACCATAATCATCAGAGTGCTTTGAATTCCTTTGTCTCTGGAGAGATCAAAGCCACATGCAAATTAATCTTTGAGGCATTTCTATGAGGGAGGTATCAAGTGTTACTATCATTCTATCTTGATCTAAGTGGAGAAACTGAGTCCCAGAGAAGATAAGCAATTTCAGGTAAGTCACACACAAAAAAGAGGCGGGTATCCAGGCCCCTATGCCCTTGTTAAATCTAGTGAATGACCTTTTTTCCTCTGCTAACCCTTTTTGTAACTGACATAAAGTGATAAAGACAGAAAATAATAAAAGATAGAAACAAAACAAGATCAAAACATGAAAATTAACCCTTTCTATCTTTTTTCCACTATCAGATTATTCAAAAGGTTCTTACAGATATGCACCGATGGTGGCGTTTTTTGCATCCCATACTTACGGAATGACTACACCTGGTCCTATCCTATTTAACAACTTGGATGTCAATTATGGAGCTTCCTACACTCCAAGAACTGGAAAATTCAGAATTCCCTATCTTGGGGTGTATGTTTTCAAATATACTATTGAGTCATTCAGTGCTCATATCTCTGGATTTTTAGTAGTTGATGGAGTAGACAAGCTTGCATTTGAGTCTGAAAATGTTAACAGTGAGATACGCTGTGATAGGGTTGTGACTGGGGATGCCTTATTAGAATTAAATTATGGGCAGGAAGTGTGGTTGCGACTTGTCAGAGGAACGATTCCAGCCAAATTTCCCCCTGCTACTACATTTAGTGGTTACTTGTTATACCGTACATAAATTAGTATGAAGGACAGACTGTCACCTTGACTGAGAAGCAGCCTGTGTTTTTATTTATCTTTGCATGCACATCTGCTCTGTTTTCGGTTTTTCTACATGAATGAAAACCAACTTCTTTTTTAATCTGAGGAAGGCTGTTAAGTTTATTTCATAAAATTATTTGAATTTCTTTTGGACAACCTATATATAAAGGAATTATTGCTCCTAAAGAGACTTAGTGGCATAGAAAACAAGGTGCGATTGTTAGCATAATCATTCCTTTTTTGTTTTCTCACGTAAGGCATTTCAATGTAAAGTAATATTATAAAGTGACACTCACTCAGTATTGTCAGTCACAGTAGTTTTCCAGTAAAATGCTTTTGTTATTCCATGTGTATGTAAATATATAACATGTTTCCTAAATTCACAAATTCAAATAAATTAAATTGCTCAAAGAAAGTGTTTTTATAAACTTTGATTTTTATTCTTTACTGTTGAGTTGATCAATCTTACATACTAACATTTTCATTCATAATCACGATTAAGAAAGTTGAAATAGAAACTTGAAATATGCCTAACTATTGTTCCCTTCCTGTAATTAGAGAATAAAGTAATAATTGACACATTTGAACATTTACACCCAAGTCTAACGATATACAAGTATATCTTTTACCTGCCTCCACCTTACAGTATCTACAGGGGAAAAAATAAAACTTTCCTCCAGTGAGTCTCCTATGGCAACACATGCAGACCTGGCCGTATTCTTATAACAGGTTCATAGTATTCCAGGCTGATATTACAATTTATGGGATGCTCACTGTGCCCTGATTCTCTTCTAAGCAACTTATATACAGTGTCTCATCGATTTCTTACAAAACCTTGTATAAGGTGGGTATTACTACCATCATTTTATAGCTGAAGAAACAGAGATAGAGTGATGAAGGAATGGACCAAGCTTCACAACTAGTAAGGACTGAGGCAGGATTTAGAATCAGCCTTTCTTCTCCAGCATTCACATCCATCCTTTCTCTGTGTTACCTCCTACAGATGTACTGTAATTTATGTAATAAGCCCTTATGAAGGTCATTGAGATTGTCTCCAATGTTTCATTATAACAATATTATTGTAGTGAACATCCTTAAACATACATCCCTTACACATTTGACAAAGTATTTCTAAAGAATAGATTCCTGTAAGTTATCATAAAAATACTAATGAAAAAGTTTGGGGTATGGCAAATGTTTTCCACAAATTAATTTACTTACTGCTTACTATAGTGCTATGAATAAACTATTAACTGTATCATCCTCTTCACACTGATGGGGAACAGAGGCACCTAGTGGGTAAGTCATTTTCCCAGTAGTTCAGCAAATTGTGGAGAATTTCAGGAACAAGGGATAAGCCTATATTTTTATTTAGCTAGAGTACTATCAAATTGCCTTTGAAAAGATCTGTACCAATCCATAGACCTCTTTTGCTCATGTTAAAGAGTACTCATTACCCCCAACACATACTCATCACAACTCACAATTTTTTAAATATTGCCTGTCTTGAATGTGAAACTAGTATCTCCCTATAGCAGAAACTGGAAATTTTTTCAGACTTGCTGAATTTGAAAGCATACGTCCATACACAAGGTTGTACACACATGTTCAGAGTAACTTTATTTGTAACAGCCAAAACTTGGTTCCACCCACCTGTCCTGCAATAGATGAATAGTAAGGCAAACTCTAGTATATCCATACAGCAGAGGACTGCCAATCAACAAAAAGGAATGAACACACTGCAACACGGATGAGTCACATGACAAGCTGTAGGAGATTCCACAGGGCAGCCTGACAAACCTTGGACAGTTCTGCAGGGAAGAGTGACGTGAGTACCGCCCGCCACGATGTCTCATGTTGAGCCCAAACAGCTGTACCTTCCCAGCCCAGCCCAGGACTCCATGAACAGGTGTGAGCTCAATGCTGACAAGCGAAGGCTGAATGACTGACACTTTCCATTCTGTTATGTGGAAGTGTATGACTTTCAAAAACATTGGAACGTTTTGATAATTTCTTCAGTCCCTGCCTAAAATTACATCACAATCTAAAATGTTTTGTTTGATTTCTTCAAGTACTCCTAGTTTAAAGAGAATTTTTGTCTTCCAAATATACTTTTCAACAGATACCAGTTATTTCAATGCACTGCCTTTTCTTTAATATTAGTAGCAGAACAAAAGGAAGTAAATCATTTTGACAATATGTGTCATTGCCATGCATAATTTAATCTTTGATTTTGTAATTAGATAATTTTGAACATTTGGCATTAAATGATGGTTTGGTGTTTGGAATTTTAATTATTAATATTAGTCTTTATTTTTATATGTATTTGTAGAAATATACAATTAAATGACAAATTGCTACCCATAGCTAAAAGGCATTGTAGCTACTTTTGAGTTGCTATGGTTTTGTTTGGTTATTTTTTAAAAAGCCATCCAATATAATATAGGACAATCTAGTAATATATTTCTAATTGTCATGATCAAATATACTCACGTTTAAAAAATGCAACATTGGGGGCAGTGGGTATAGCTCAGCAGTAGAGCGAATGCTTAGCATGCATGAAGTCATAAGTTCAATCCCCAGTTCCTCTGTTACAAATAAATAAATACTAATTACTTACCCCTCCAAAAAAAACCCAAAAATTTTTAATTAAAAAAATACAACATTGGGATTTTCTTAATTTTTCTTATGGAAACAGCAGACTTTAGTGGATATTTGTTTGTAGATTGAATTCCAGTGCTCTCCTCTCTCACCAGACCTTCCTGCCCAGCAAACTCCCAAAGTATACTAAGACCCTAATTACTGATAGCAATTTCATACCCATTCAATCATCAACTATTTAACAAACACCTACTTTGTGACAGGCAAGATAAATCATATATTAAAATAATATAAAAATAAATACCAAGCAAATCAGTACAGACAGATATTGCATTTGAAATACATTATTCAGAGTCAAGCTGGGATTTACTACCACCAAAATCGTGAGCAGCTCTGTAAAAATGAGAAATGTATACTAAGACAACATTGTAAATCACCTATACTTCAAAAAAAAAAAAGAATGAGAAATGTATCTTTAATAACCAAGCCCTCTTTATTCTGCAGCCCTGACCAAACTCCCGTTACTCGCTTTTGGGTCACTCCAGAAATTAAGGAACTTCATATTCCAAGCCAAGTGTGCCTAAAGGACTCTTTCTACTCTCCTTTACCAACTTCTCACTTGGTAGAATGAGAAGAATGGAAGAATGGGCTAATATCATTTGAGCATTAAGAAATGATTAAAATAAGACATTGATTTTTGGTTGATTAGTTTACTTCATCCTCTTAAAGGGGATTTTTTGATGTTCATCTGTTTCAAAACATAAATTTGAATGAATTTCTAATTTATAGAAGTTCAGTTATAACATATACAAATATATTATGTAAGTATATACATTTATATTATATATACAATTTAAGGTTTTCCTTTATCTAATATATACCTAATATAGATATATTTTCTATCTCATATATATAAATTGTGTGTTATACATTAAAAAACCTAAGATTTTTATCATGTGCTTTTTATCCAAGTCTAAAGAAAGTGAGCTCACAACTTGGTACCTTAAAAAAAATTGCTATGGTTTATTACTGTCAGCTTTTTCCCCTTACCAACTAGTTGATTAATAAATTTTGTCTTCATCAAAGGCAATTTTTACTGTAATGCAATTTTCTTCATTATTCAAAGCTGTTTGCCTGTCCTCTGTCCCTGCAAGGCACGTGTGGGAAACATTAAGGCAGGAATGGTAGCCTGCCTTTCCTAGATTGTACATTTAGTCCCATGGATCTGCCCTGTTGAAGGCAGAGATTCTTGCTGCCCCAGTGGTTTCAAACCCAAGGTTTCATCCAAGAGCAGAGGAGTGTCAGGAGGCACCCTCCCTCGGGAGATTTCACCACAGCTC